AATTATCGAGGCCAAAACCTGGTCTTGCACACAACTACCAGGAGCCACAACTTGGTCTTCCATACATATGGCAGGGGCCACCACCTGGTCTTCTATGCAGGTATCAAAAATACAACTAGTATCCTACATAGTATAGTAAAAAGACTCACCTTAATCTTGAAGAAAAGATAAACCACACACTCGACTCGATGATATTAAGTCTCCTCTTGCTGAACATATACATAATAAAACCCTAATTAACAATTAAAGTAATAACCAACTCTCAAAATGTCTAGGCTCACAACCAAACCTCTTTTGGTCAAAACACCATTTTTCCCTTTCAAGGCAAAGTCCCAACATGGTGGACCAAAACTCAAATTGATCAAAAAGTCAATGACCAAATCTCAGTTGACTTACTCTCAGCATAGCACACTGATGTACACTTAGTGTTAGGCTAAAGCTTAACATACAGAAGGCTACGCTCAACTTAGAACCCTTGTTTCCCAAAAACTCTATTAATCTCTTAATACATAAAAACAAACCCTCACACTTCCATATCTGATGTAAATGTATGTATCAATGGATAAACTGTTACCCATTTGCTTGGCTAGAATGAGTACAAACACAAGCCATAATTCTATAAAACCAACTTTTTCTAAAAACCCATGCACAGGGGCGGAGCCATAATTTTTTTTAGAGTGTTACTTGTAAATTTGTTAGAACAAACACACACACACACACACACACACACACACACACACACACACACACACACACATATATATATATATATATATATATATATATATATATATATATATATATATAGCCAGTCCATTAATTCTAAAGACCCTGTACGAAAACTAAAATGAAGCCCCTTTAAATATAACTTTTTATATAAGGGAAATAAATTTAGAGAATGAGTTATAACAAGAGAAAACATAAAAAATAACTAAATTACTGTATGAAAACTAAAATTGGACCATTCAAAATAAAAAAAAATTATATAAGCAAAATAAATTTATGGGAGTGAGTTGTAACATGATAAAACTCAAAAAATAATTAAAATACGAAAAGTAAAATTTTATAAAAATTTAGGGGCAGAATATACAAACTTCTAAAACTGATTTGTTAAAGAAGTTAGAAGATTGGTTAAATTGTGAAATTGATAATATAAATAAGTGGTTAAAACATTAAAATGAAATGTAATTAAATGATTCGGATGTTCAAAAATTTGTCTTCAAAAAGGCTTGAACCTAGGAAAATTGGAAATAGACGAACACATCAGCCATTTGAGGTAAATGGCCTTTAATTTAGCAATTGCAAATAATGATATATAATAAGTAATTCAAAAAAAACTGAGGGTGGGCCTGGGGCCACACTGGCTCTCATGTGGCTCCACCCATGCCCATGCATAGATGGATGAGAATGCCCAAGCTTTGATTTTTATGACTCTATAACCTCAAAACATTAGAAGAACGCATTAAACTGGTCTGGAGTAAGCCATACTCACAAAGACCAAGATAATGGAGACAAAACCATAAAAATCACAACCATACTAGATCTAACATGGAAAAGCATCAAGATGAAATATGTATACCTTCCAGAGATAGATTTTGGCCTATAAATCCAAAATATACACACCATGAAGCTTACCACTTGGATCTACAAAAACCTTCTTTATTCAAAGAGCACACAAAACTCTCTAAAAACTCCAAAACTCACAATTGGCTGCTAGGGTTTCAAAGGAATGTTTTACGAGGGTGCAAGCTAAGCATGGGGATGATCTAAAGGAATTAGAGCCTTTAAATAGGGTTTATAACCATATATTTCGGATTTTTATTTGTCGTATGCCATTAAAATCCCGATCAATATTTCCTCATACTCTCATCATAGGGGACCTTCCAACGCTCAGCATAAAAGATAACCTCACAACTCCAACTTTAAACAGCCACAAGTTCTTTGTTTCAAATCCAGTTTCGGTGATCTTCTTACCCTTATGAATGTATTGACCAGCCCCGCAATTATATATAATCAAGTATGAATAAAAACACACTAAATTAGAATGATAAGTCATGCAAGAATATGGATGAGAATTTGGCCGGAAAACTCGAGCCGAAGCGAACTGAAATAGGCTCGAATAAGCAATTCGATTCGGGTTTCGGGTATCCATGTAATGATTATTCAGTTCAGATTACCCAAATAATAGCTTATTTGGTTCTAAATACATAACCTGAATAATCATTCCTCGTCCCCTTTCTCTTATCAAAAGAAATCAAAATCACAATTCACACTTCTGTCCTCATCCTTCATAATAGAAAAAAAACCTACTCTCGTTCTCATCATTTCGAAATCGACCAATCTTCTCTACTATTTCCAAAGTTGAAATCAGTTCTGTCGATCCTTCCTCTTATTTTTACTTTCAAAAATCGACCATTCCTATTGTATCTTAGGATTCACAAATTCGTACTTTGTCTAGTCATGGAAAATTAGGCTCCAACTCAAGAAACTCTGGTAAGAAATTAATTCTCATTATGTTAATCTTCAATGTAAATGTTATTCTTTCAATGTGTTATTGTGTTATGTTAGTCTTTGAATGTTTTATGTTGGTGTATAAAACTACATTGTTATTCTATTATTCGGGTTATTCAAATTATAGAATCCTAATACGGTTTATTCGATTTTTGTGGTTATATTAGATCCTTAATCATCTTGTACATGTTATTCGGGTAATATCCGAACCAAAGAGATTAATACCCGAACTGAACCGAACCAGTATTGGTTAATTTGTTCGGTTTTTGGTTCATGCAATTACCCTTATTTAGTTTTCAGGTTATTTTGGTTCGGCTCGGTTCAGTCCAGTTCTGACCCGAATAACATCCCTATGGAAGAAGTCTGAAGCATTGCTTTTCCCATTTTACTCCTTTAGCTCTAAAGTACAATTCAAGCTGTAAATCACGTATCCAACATTATCAACATCCAGTAGGGTCTAAACACTATTTTATGAAGCGCAAGGCCTTTACATGTTCGAATTGCTGTCCACAAACCCAAAATAGGATACATTCTAAAACTAGATTTTACAACTCTCTCCTACTTAAATTTGATTTCATCCTTGAAATTTTCCCTTATATGTTACTCTCAGAACACAATTCTATGTCGCTTGAGCTACCCAAATCCAATGCAACACTGAAGAACAAGAATTACTTAAAACAGCCAACTTCCTTCAAACACTGCTACCATATCAAACTGCATCGATGATGACCTTAATTCACAAAATAAGTTGAACAAAACCCTCTCCGACCCTACATCATCTTACTAATATTTGGGAAACAAAATCCACATCCATTTACCAATGCTAAAAACCTTGCACTGGAATATGAAGGCAACTCCCAACACGATCCCCAACCATTGGCTCTACCCCGAACACATATATTGCATCATGCTGACTAAAAGTTTGTAAATTCGACATATCCAAGATCCTTTTGGTTCTTTGATGTCCTCCAAATAAACTGAAACATAGTAACCCCGACCGATTGTTGAAGTTAGAAACCTCACACACGGTCACCCCACGAAACTCCAACCAAGAGTCTAACTCACAAAGGCTATCCTAGCTTACAAGTCAACACGATTGATGTGTGTTACAATTAATTAGAAGTTTTAATAAATTAAAAAATAGTAATCAAAGACACAAGATCTAAATAAGATCTGATTTGCTTAATATATCGCCTGAAGAATATATATATATATATATATATATATATATATATATATATATATATATATATATAGAGAGAGAGAGAGAGAGAGCACAAATTTTTATCTGAATATCGAATTCTTACTCTAACTATAGGTACTTATACTATTTATAGGATACACCAGACTCAAAAAGTACAATGACTAAACTTGACATAACAAAACATATAATGCCTTGTAAATAGATATTATGTCGAAAGTACAACAACTTTTGACACATAACGACAACAAATGAAAGAAACAGCTTTCAACTCTCACTAAACAGTTTTTGACTCTAAGATCTTCCCTTTGTGAGAACAGTCGAAACATCATGCTATAATCTTCATTGTCTATAAAATCTCTCTTCGAACTTCCATATATCTCAAGATAATATTTTATATACCTGCCTTATCTGCATTGTCATTCTTTTTGCAATCGTCGATTCGAATCAAGATATCTGTCAAATGGGAATTCATATATCTTTCCAGATCAGAGACTTGAAACGCAAACTTTGTCAAAACCCCCCTCTTGTTCATTCCCTGGTATACCACACCATAAGGTTGATGAATGATGTCTCCATCTTCAAATTCACTAATAATTAACTTTTCCTTCGCAAGAGGATAATAACTCAGAGTACATGGAGTCATCTCCTGTGTGGCACTTTCGTTGTCTTCTTATAGCTATGGCAAGATCAATGTTTGTAATAGACAAGTATTCAAAGTAGCTATCCAAATTAGCCTTAACATTACCAAATCTGAGAATAAATACAGTTATGCTCATCTCAGGAATCTTCTACACATCCGCATTGATTAATATCTTCGAAATTCAGATAAGATCATTCAAGTTCATCCTGGGCAAATCATCAACCGTGAACTCAAACTCCACATTGTTTTCTCTTACCACAGAGTAATGAAAGTTCTAAAGAAAACCCTCGAGCAAAGTATCAATGTCAATTTTCATTACCTTCTTGATCTTTACCAAAGACCATACATCATCTTCATTCTATCCTAAGATTGCATGAAAGCAAATTTTCAAATTTTTGTATTCGCTTTTATCTTTGAAGTTTTCTGCCAATTTGAAATGTGGGGATGTGAAAAGCATGTGATTGATTTGAAAATTGAGTCTATTGAAATCAGAATTTTCAGTCTCAAAAATATTCTTTGGGCTTTTCTGAAATTCATCATTCTTCCAAAAAATACCTATTTCAGTTCTTTCGTATCACCGGTTCTTGTTTGGATAACCTTTGTTTAATTATGGTGGGTCATTCTCTCATTGTCGAAGAATTATGTTTATTTGTCTTGAAATTCTAATTCTGCTGCTTGTAATTTCTTCTTTTCCTCATCTGATTGTTTAATTGGAATGACTTTTCCTTTGTCTTTCAAATCAACTTGTGAAGTTCTTTTGACAAGATCGTTACTTAAGCCTCCTTCATCCTCCTTGATTAAAATCCCTTTCAATGGAACTTTTGGCACATTTGTTGTTGTAGAAGTTGTTATCGAAGATACGGTTATAGGCTTCATAGGGATTGTTCTTAAAATTTGACTCAAAATAAGCTTCCTAACAACAACTCCTGTATCATCACCATAAACATTTGAATATGCAGTTCCTCCAACTTCTCTTTCTCCCCATTGTAAAAATTGTGTAGCATGAGGAGCATTTGTTGGTAAACAAAGTACCAAACTAACGATTGGACCTAGCTCAGCTTTGATGTTCGACTCAACATTCCAAACCATCTTTGAAATAGATTCATGAGAGATGTTAGAGTGATCCGAAAGATCCACCTACAATAAATTTTCTTTAATCCCAGACAAGAAACCCTTATATTTTTCAAACACCTTTTCATCCATCTCAGACATAGCTTGAAAACGTTTTGTATACTCATTATTGAACTTAACCAAACGAGTTATGGCACCAGCAATAACAACCACTTTTCCATGCAACAGATTGTAATTTTCTTCTAGCTTCTTGACTTCTTCTGACATCAAAGATTCTATCTCAGCAACCTTGAGATCAAGAGACTCCTTCATTGGATTCACCTTTTCCATAAAAATCCATGATGTTTCTTAGCAACATCACGAAACTTTTGAATCTCGTAATCAAAACTTTTTGAATGAGTAAGCAATCGTTCTGCTTATTTCTTCTCAACACCCTCAATCACATTCTGCAAGCGTGATTCTTGAGCTTCCAACAAATAATCCATCTCAACCCCAATCACCTGGTTCTTGAATTTCTTACCTAACCTGATTAGTTCATAATGAATATCTCCTTCTTCTAGATTGAATTAAAGCTCTGCAAATAAAACCAAGACTTCTTTATCCTCAACTTCATCTCTTTGAAGTAATTTCTCAGTTGATTTTGAAGAGAAAAGAGTGGTGATTGGTTCTTGGATAACACCAAAAAAAATGTTAGTGAGACAGAAGAAACATAAACGAATGCAGGAACAACTGATGTTGGTGGTGGTAAAACTGTTGAAGTTGCAGTAGAAGTTGTGGTGGTAGATTCGACATTGATCATCCCTACATCCATTTTGACTTTTGTGTCCTTATTAGATATGTTCACAATGATGTCTAGAGTTTTGACCTCCTCCCTAACGGACTCGATATTCAAAACCCCGAATGGTTTAACTAAATCCTACTTAGGGATGTATGTTTGTGTTTGTTTACTTGAATTGATGTGTGTACCTATATCAGATATGTTATAGTAACATTAGGAATCCATGTCTCCTCAGAAGTCGACTTGACATAGGTATCCTCTCATTGTGAAACATGAAAGGAATCCACTAATCGAGTGTCAGAAACGTCATTGTCAGTATCAGTCTCGATAGTGGCGTTATCAAAGTCAACTGTAGGTTGAACATCATTCTTCCTTTTCTTCAACTTCTTCGCAATATCTAAAGCTCAATGCTTCTTTGATGCAATAGGTATTGGACTCGAAACCTTATGAAAAATTGTGCATTTTATTATGAGTTATAGTTTCTTAACTTTATTTGAACCAGGTTTGGTCACAATTGGTTCACTTTCCTATGTAATTTTTCCTTTATAAGAACAAGATCAGAAGTTTCAACAATCATTGGGTCAACAGTCTCAACAACTGGTTCTTGAATAAGTATCGTTGTTGTTGGATTAGAAGTTTCAACAACCTTTAATTCAAAAATCTCAACAACTGGTTCTTGAATAGATTTCATTGTTGTTGGGTCAGAAGTTTTCTTTGATGGTTTCTTGGTTTATGTAAGTATCCATATACCAGTCTACATTGGCATTGTTTCTTTACTTAGAGGACGAGGACCCGGAGATCGATTTTTTTGATGATATAAATAGAGATATCGAGTTTTTTACCACTACATATTTTTCCTCCTTATTCCGATTGGGTCATGTGAGCTTTGACAAACCAAAAAAGTTTGTTCATCCTACTAATGAGTAAGATATTTGGGTATGACAGTTATAAAACATATTTTTGGGTTGTAGATTGGTTTGGTCACTTGAACAATTTCCTTTCCTTCTTTGTGATTTATTTTTCTAGTTGTATGATGTTATGATTAGTGTTTATTTGTTTAGATTTGCTCGTATGCCCTCTTTGCTTATAGTGATGTCCTATAGTTTTTCTGATTGATGTTTTGAGCATGTTTTATAATGATTTTTATCTTTAAGATAAGTGATCGCATAGGAATTTTGTTAAAAGTTAGGACCAGGGGTCGCATAACATAAAATAATCTCTAACACTAGGGTCAAGGGTCATCTAGGCTTTTGTCAAAAGTTAGAACTAAAGGTTGCATAACTTGAAATATTTTCTACCACTAGGACCACAGGTCGCGTAGGCTATTTTCGAAAGTTACGACTATGGGTCACGTAACTTGAAATAATTTCCAACACTAGAACTAGGGGTTGAATAGGATTTTGTTAGAATTTAGGAATAGATGTCATGTAACTTAAAATAATTTCTAGTGTTAGGCCCAGGGGTTGTGTAGGCTTTTGTAGAAAAATAGGACCAAGGGTCGTATAACTTGAAATAATTTCCATCCCTAGGTTGTGAATGTCAGACTTATTTAGCGTTTTTACCACTCTCTTGGACTCCATATGATGTGATATTTTTGTTGAAAGATATCTAATAGAATAATACAAAAAAAATCAATTTTATTAAATATGTGGTGGTTAGATGATTAGACCAATCTATTTTGTACAAGTTTTTGGAAAATAATAAATAATGGGAAAAAAAGTGTAAATTTGCTAATGGTTGTTGTGGAGTGCTTCGACGAGACTTTCCTCTTGTATTTTTCTCTTAATAGTAAAAGTGTCTCAGGTTCTACATGTGGCATGTTCATAGGATAGGTCTCCCTTCTGGAGTTTCTAGGATGCAGGCTCCTTTGCGGAGTGCTTCTACAATGAGGTAGGGGTATTCCCATGTTTTCCCTAGTTTTTCACTGAGTTCTTGAAGATTGGCTTTATTCATTTTTCATACCTAATCTCAAATTCTGAAAGTCAGTATTATATAACACCTAGAATCTAGAAGCTTTTTATGGAGATAAATCATCCTTGCTAACGGCCAGCTCGTCGAGTTTAGGGAAGGAAACTCGACGTGTTGGAGGTCTTTAGCACGCGTATTTTTGAGGATCAACTCGACGAGTTGGATGTTATTTCAGAAACCTTAATTTTGTGGTTTTGCACCATATTTAAACACCTTAAGTCTCACGTGTTGGCCTCATTTCCAACCTCCATTGCCCCTTGCCCTAATCTCGAAACCCTAGAGCCTCCTTGACTGTTGTGAGCCCATTTTGACTGCATTTTGGGGTGTTTGAAGCTTATTGAAGGAAGAGGATCTTAGTGCAAGGTGGAGATTCAATAAGGAGCTTTCAAATCTCAATTCCTTGCTCCATTTCTATCATTTTTCGGGTATAAAGTCTCAACCTTTCTTATTATATGCTTAGATCTCCTTGCTAGGGCTATTTTGCATGGTTTAGCCAAGTTTGACTGGTTGATGGGGGTGTTGGTCATCCCAAAGGACTTATTTTTTTCATACGCATGGTTCTTGGGAGCTCTTGTGGCATAAAAGTGCCAACTTTATGGTCTTAAGGGCTCCATGCATCCATTAAGCCCTTCAATTGGCCTCTTTGAGCTTTTGAGCTTCTTCTAGCTTTGCATGAGAGTAAAGTTGGAAACTTTACTTGACCTTTCAGCCTTTAAGGTCTAGATATGCACCCATGAGCTTTATCTTGATGATTTGGTGATTAATAATTAAGATCTTAGCCTCTTAAGCTTAGGGTTTGGGTTTTTGACCCATTCGAATGGTTCTTAAGGGTAAAGTTAGAAACATTACCCTTCCATGCGTTATTTTAGTTATGATCTAAGTGGTGGACCTTTTATTTTACTTAGAAACTTTAAGAGGTTTTGTTGACTGAAGAACTGAAACGACCCAAAAATTTCGTTTTTAATACAATCAAAACTATAATCAGAGTATCATGTAAATAAACCATGCGTGATATGCCCCAAAATATAATAAAGTACTATGTGGAAACTGTAACATACTATATCAAAAACAACAACTAAGTCAAATCCAGACTAAAGCTGAAACGGTGGTGTGTGCGATGCCGTCACCCAGAGCTCTTCCCTTTGCTTGCGGAAGTACCTGAAACCAAAACTGAAACTGTAAGCACGAAGCTTAGTGAGCTCCCCCAACTTACCACATACCATACAACAACATATAAACACATATTGGGCCTTGCCCACTGCATCGGGCCGGGGCCCGGAAACTGCATCGGACCGAAGTCCGGAACTGACTGGGACCTTGTCCCCTGCATCGGACCAAAGTCCGGAACTAACTGCATCGGACCGGAGTCCGGAACTAACTGCATCGGACCGGAGTCCGGAACTGACTGCATCGGACCGAAGTCCGGAACTGACTGCATCGGACCGAAGTCCGGAACTGACTGGGACCGTGTCCCCTGCATCGGACCGAAGCCCGAAACTGACTGAGCATAGCATAGCATATCATAACAAACATACTGCATACTACATCGGGCCGCAGCCCGGAACATAAAACACATAACACATAGCACATGAATTATGTCTGAACCACGAAGGCATCAAACATACTAACTACTACATCGGACCGAAGTCCGGAAACTACTACTAACTGGACGGGCCGTCATTATGGCCTTAGACCCGCCCCTACGGGAAGGAAACTCACCTCGTAAGCTAGCGGATGAGTGTGTGGCTCGGAAAGCTAACGGCTGCTGCTCCTGAATCTCCTCGGCTACAAATCCATAAACACACTCAATCAATCACTAACACTACACTCAGGGTAAAATGACTCTTTTACCCTTGGTCAAAGTTGACTTACTCAGGGCTGACTCGCCGAGTCGGGATACCCAACTCGCCGAGTCCTAGACTCTCCGCTCAACTCTTACACGCTGATACTCGTCGAGTGTGGCATCGACTCGACGAGTACCCTCTGGATCCAAGAACCCAAATGATCTTCATCCGACTCGCCGAGTCAGATGAACAGACTCGACGAGTTGTTCTTGATCCTCAAGAAGATTGCCTTGGACTCGCCGAGTTGCATGAACAAACTCGCCGAGTCCCTCCATCACTGAGTCTACTCTCAACTCGCTAAGTCCACTCCCTAACTCACCTCGCACACTCGACACTGATGAAACTGAAGAACTCGGGACTCGCGACCTGACTCGTCGAGTCGTTCTTCCGACTCGCCGAGTCGCCGCCATGCAACATATTTTTACTCGATTTCTCTTGAATCCAACATATGCAAATAATAGATCTAGGTCCATTAAGCTGTTTTACCACGTAAAGTTTCCAACTTTACGTGCACAACCACATGAATGAGGGAAATAAGACTAAAATATGCACAATAAGGGTAGATCCATGGCTAATATGCAATGTAACTCCAAAAAGACAGTGGATCTGGGCTCTACAACACCCCAACACTCAGATCCAAAGGTATTTCGGCTTAATAACACAATCAAGCAAGCATAAAGCTTGGAACAAGCATCAAATAGCCCTTAAAAGAGCTCTAATGG